TAACTGCCAATACTGTTTCCCAGTGCCAGCAGAAGACATTTTTCAGACCCTATCTTTTTTCAATTGAACAGCCAGGAAAGGATTACATGTATATTTCGACCGTACAAGGAAGCGTGGAATTTTGCGTTTTAGAGTGTGTGAGAGACCCCAAGTGTTCCTCTGTTCTACACAATTCTAGAAGTCAGTTATGTAAATTGTTACGTTGCCTGTTAACCCCTGCTAACATTATTCCGGATACCTCAGAAAATGGATTGGATTATTTTGTCAGTGAAGATGGTAAAAATAATTATCTCCCTGTCTCATTTCGAAAATAACCAAAATAATGGTGCCATAAATAAAAGTTTTGCTGTTTCTGTTTAAAAAATAATAATTTCAGAATGTAGTGACGGTTGGTTCCGGTTTGAGGACCATTGTTACTATAACAACTTGACGGACATTAAGTGGAACGAGGCTGAGGTAAATCTTTTAAGTTTATGAATGAGGAAAGCCAAAGTTTCGAAAGAATAAATGTTGTGAATTACTTGTGGTATTTTTTTTAAAATTAACATTAACATTTTTGTCTTCTTTTTGTCTTCATCTTATTTTTCTTAACTGTGAATCGAATAGAGTTATATGTCATCCATTATTGAAAGAAATCAAACAATTTTTATATATTTTTTCTTTTGAAGTCAGAGTCGATTTAGTAAATCTTTGTTATTCAAAGCTTCTAGAAAGGAAGTATAATAAATTATTTTTGCTATTCAATTTTACTTACAGTTAAGTCAATAATTTCTGAATTCCTTTGCTTATGAAAATTTCGTAGTGTCCTCTACAAAAAAATTAGAATTTCTGCAATTTAAATAATTATCTCATTATTCTTTAAATTTCGCCCGAGCAACACTCAGGCTGTACTAAAATAAGACCATGTAGAAACTATGAACATCCTATTTTTCGCTTCAAGACCTCTTTTTGAGTTCCCTGACGATGCCGCTCACGGATTCTGTCAGCCACGATTTGCGTTCTGTCTACGAGTCTTATCAAAAAGATTTGAGACAAACTCCAGCCAGCGTTTTAACTTTTAATATGGAACTGACAAATTTTTATACAGGTCGGTGCACTCGAGACGGCTGTCCGATTCCGAGTGATCATCCAAAACAAATTCAACAGCATATATAACAATTATGGTGTGACATGTGTAAAAATGTCGAATATGACATTTGGAAATTAATAGATAAGACTTTGATACATGAGTAAACCCTTAAGATAATTTAGCGTCAGATAATCGTCCTTTTGATGTTACTTTGCCTGAAGATAATTTAACAATATCAAACGATGACAGGTGTTAAACCCAATTAGCTTGGATTACCTGAAATCTCCGATGTTTTAATTCAATAAAGATTAAGAGTCGTAAATACAATAAAGAAAATAATATGAAAAAGCTTAAGAATTTAGGAAGAGTTGTTCTAAAAACACTAAACAGTAACTTAAATTTAGAAACTAGAAAAATCTCTTATAACAGTAAAATTTTCATAGTGATAGTAGTATTTCTTTTCATTACCATTTTTCTTGGAAGACGGTATACAGAGTTGAAGTTTGAAGTATTTCACAGTGTTCGTACTGTGCACTTCCTCTTTTCTGCGATTGAAAAAAAATGCATGATGTGAAAATTTTCAATAAAAGCTGTTCAAGGCAAGGGAGATATTTTACTGGTGGTCTAATTTCATACGAGTTTACAATATTTCTAGATTTTTAATTTTTTAAAAAATTCGACAAAACGAACTAAAGAAAATTGTAATAAATGAAACTGATACTTTATCGTTTTACAACAATTATTATTAAGTCTTTCTGTATTTTCATGATTAACGGATTTTTTTTTTCATGCAAATATTGAAGTTTGTGTTTATTCTTTTTTTTCCTTCGTTTATATGGTAGGGTCAATGTCTCTTGAAGATGTACAGAGCCAAGAACTACAGTACTGAACAATAATATGCGTGATAGGTGTATATCAGTTAACTATTTAAAGTTATTGTTTAAGACAGCAAAACTTTTTGAAAAATCTATTATATAATACTTTTTGTAGAGTGTTTGCAATCATCATGGAGCTTACTTGGTGGAAATAAATTCGAGCTATGAAAATTTATGGCTTGATAGGGAATTACCTAACGGTAAGTGAGGGTGATTCTGAATTTTTAAATGTATGCACTGTTTTGGGTAATTATGAAAAGCTCGTCGACCGAAGAGATGGATTGTTTGATTGTTTGTTTTACGTCCCATTCGAGAAGTTTTCACTCATTTAGAGACTTTACCATATACCGAGGAAGAGCTTCAAATGTAGTCCTTAATCTCGGTGAGTTTTCGGCTCGACTAGATATTTGGTCTGACGCCTTCACCGAATCTCAGAACAGTTCTTCATAATTTACCTCTTGAAATTCAGCCCCAACTTCGGCCGGCTATAGCAAGAATTATTCACCTAGGCGACATTGTCTTCGCTTCACTTAAGTCAATTAGTTGTTTAATTAAATCTCCGTCTCTATCATTTCCACATTGCTTACCGTCTAGGCATGTTAGTCTTAACATATATAAAAACATTTACTGAAATCTCCGTTCAAAATATGGCTCCCCTGACGTAATTGTTTAACTCCTCGCATTAAAGAGCTCCTTTATAGTCTGTTTTCATTTCTATAAAAAATACTTAAAAGCCACAGTATTACATAAAAGAAAAGATACTATTGGAACTCTTTAATGCGAGGAGATAAACAATTATGTAAGGAGAGCCATATTTTGAACGGAGATTTTAGTGAATGTTTTTCAAAATTGATAAATGCTAACATTTTTCTTGTTCATAGCTGATCTATTGTGGATTGTCAAATTTGATTCGAAACGCATAATTTCATTTTACCATATGATAAATCATCACAACCAACCACATGTAAGCTAGGGTTACAATTGAAATGAGATAATTCAATTTGATATACACATAGATAAGTATTGAACAACGTCTATTTTCTAAGTCATTTTAGAGAGCATATCTCTGTACAGATTTCGGATTTTATTTTCCTAGTCGAAATAGTAATCCAAAGTTCATGGTCGGACCATACAATTGAAATATGACCTGAGAAAAGACGGCCCTACCTTAAAACGTCAGAGAAATTGATAAATTCTAACAATTTGTATGCATGTCATAAGTGACCAACTGCTTCTCCACATTTTCCTTCGAAACATACCATTTTAATTCAAATTCATTTTAAATAAGTTTACCATTAAAATAGATAACTTCGGATTGCAAGTAGAATGTAATAATCAAGTTTTTCTTTTAAATACCTGTTTCTGATGTCATATCTCTTTTCAGAGGAGAGACACCGCTGGATTGGGGCTACAGATATACTGACTGAGGGTCAGTTCCTGTGGAGTTTCTCTAATACAGAGTTGAATTTTGAGAACTGGAGAAATGGAGAACCAAATAATGCAAACCAAAAGGAACATTGTGCCGTGATAATGAAGGGTGGACGATGGAACGACTTTAAATGTTACTGCAGTCAGGCTTTTATTTGCGAGAAAAATCTGTTTTAGTATACATTTCCATGAAATCAATGTCAATTACATATACCTTTAGTTACTAGTTGTACATGTATACTTAAAGTTTAGGGTAGAAACTTTATGCATGGACATTTTCGTCAATTTTATATATTTTTGCTCCTTTCGCCCTCATCTTGAGCGAATTAAAACCAGTCCGAATTTAAGGGACATCATTTATACATCTTTTCGAAGAACAGTGTCTGGACAAATTTAAAACGGCGCGAAACTGTATGCAAGAGTAATTCGGCAAAAAAAAAAAAAAAAAAAAAAAAAAACCTATGTAAACAAGTCTTTACTTATACTGAACACTTACTATCTGTCATTTCTTTGGCAATACTTTAAAAAGAGGTCCCTTTACTTTATTATGTTTAATTTGAAACTCTATGGCCTTCAGTGATATGTCCATTTACATACTGAATTTGATTCTTGTTGTATAACATTTGACTTCCAACTCAGTGGGATGTTTTGTCCACTACGAGAGTAAATATGTATTTTTTAGTTTATAGCGTGCAGATATCACAACAAACCTGAAAATAATATACGAGAAAAAAGCAAAATGATCAATCTCAATGGAACACATTTAAATATGCCACTTTCCATACACGAATGAAGTGAACAAAAATTCAAATGATGAATAACACCATAATTTGTTAGCAGGTTAAAACATATATGAACAAATATTTTTGTGACCCTTACCCCAAATTCACTTTTTGATGCAAATATATGAATTCTATTCAGGATCATACATTAAGTTGTACATATTTTACTTTAAGTCAAGGGCACATTTGGGCGGCTCGCTTATGATCCTGCAAATTCATGGATATCGTATAGATAAAATCATCATTTTAAAAAAAGAAAAAGAAATCTCTGTGAAACATCTTGTAATTTACGAAGATTTCAAAATTACAAGAAATTCACTCAAAGTATTCTGCATAAAATACGAAAATTATTTCCACAATTATTTTTTTAATGAAACGTGTTAAGAAGCATATACCTACAACAATACAGTGTTAAGTATACAAAGTTTTCTTGCACAAGACGCAAGGATAAATATCATTAAGCTGATCATATCTGTATTAATAGCATATTAATAATGTACCGATTGAGTACTTAACATGTACACGTTTTGATATAAAACACTGGAAATCGCAAAACTTTCTTCAAATTATAAAAATTATAAAGATATAAATGTTTGAAAAAAGGATGAAGATGGATTATCTTACCCAAAAGGCTTTGTGTCAGGGTTCATAAAATTAGAATTACGACAACAGAGTTAAAATAAACCAAATGATTTGACTTAAAATTGTTTGAGACATTGTAATAGATAATACCTCCTTGAGAAAAACTTTTTTTACTTCTTATATGTACAAATACAAAGCTTTGATAAGATATTGTACTGCTTTTCTGTTCAACTATCTAGTCAGTTGGTTTTCTTTCAAATTTTGTTAAATATTGGCATAAACACTGTCCGTATTAAAAAAATCACAAACAGCTCTGAAACAGAACTCATATTCTTCCTGAAAAAGAATGAGAAAACATTGAATGTTGTCAATTGAACGTGAATTTAAGAACAAGAGGCCCATGGCCCACATCGCTCACCCTAGACACTGGCTAGGAAGAAGCAGAAATCAGTTCAGTATATTAATAAGTTTTAAGGGGGGAACTTAAATTTATACTACCTCAGGATGCTTCATTATCAATATTACTAATCATGGCTTTGCTGTTCTTAAACAGAAGAATTTTAAAGATTTTTTTTTCGTATGTATTCCTATGTAAAACTCTGATTGGTCATTGTGACCCCACCCTATCCACCGTAAATTTGAACAAAATTGAATCTACACTAACCTAAGACTGCTCCTATAATAATATGACTAGCCATGGTTTAGCTGTTCATGAGCAGCAGATTTTTTCAAGATGATTCCTATATATTCTTATGCAAAACTTTGACCCTCTGCTGTGCCCAAACTCTTAGGAGGACATGATTTGAACAAACTTGATTCTACAATACCTAAGGTTGCTTCTGTATAAATATGACTAATAATGGCTTAGTTGTTCCTGAGAAGAAGATTTCAAAGATATTTCCTATGTAACGTGTATGATCAGGTTCTTACAAGGAATATAAAGGTTTTCTCTTTAATCTTTCTTAGTTAATGACTGGAAAGATTATTAAGAAAACTATGTCTAAGGGTATATCACATAATACTTAAATTTTCTCTTCTCTGGGGATTAAGTAAGGTTCTACTTGCTCCGTGTTTCTCTCCTAGGTTCCCTTTGACAGAAAAGAACCAGTTACCTCAATCTTCTTCAAATTTACTACACCCAGAACTTAAGTACTCAACAAAAATTGCATTGATGTCTATGGAGCAATCTAAAAAAAAAAAATAAAACTTCAAATAATAAGAATGTCAATAAATACTTTAGTGAAAAATGCACTAAAACAAATAAGAAATAGAATGACAATTGAAAATGATTTATTTTACCAGGTAAGATTTTTAAAATTGATTTTTTTTAATTAATTAAAAGCAGAGGGACATAACTCTTATAAAATTTAAGGTCATAAATTAGGACACATCCCACCCTTACATGCTAATATAATAAATGGGAATTATGTCTAAATATACTGAGTATTCAACACCAACACATCTGTTGTGTATTCAATTTCCATTAAGATGGAATACCTTAACTTCTTTATTGCTGATTCATCATCAAACTTCTTCTGCTACCTTCTGAATGCCTAACTTTCCCATAGCTTATATACCCTTAGGCTAGTCCATTCCAAGGGTTGTCAGGTCATTCCACTATTGGAAGTCTTCAATGCGTTTTACTCCAATGCCCCTTAACCATTACACCTATATATTCATATATTAACCTTGACCCACTGTTGTGGCCCCGCCCTACCCCAGGGGTCATGATTTGAATAAAATTTAATCTACACTACCTGAGGATACTTCTGTATTAATATGTTTAATAATGGCTTAGATATTCTTGAGAAGAAATTTTTTAACGATATTTTCTATGTATTCCTATGGTAAACTTTGACCCCCTTGTTGTGGCCCTGCCCCACCCTCAGGAGTCATGGTTTGAACAAACTTCAATCTACAATACCCGAGAATACTTCTATAATAATATGACTGATCATGGCTTTGATGTTCTTGAGAAGAAGATTGTTAAAGACATTCGTTATATATTCCTATGGTAAACTTTGACCCCCTCTTGTGGCCCCGACCTACCCCCGGGGGTTATGATATGAACAAATTTGAATCTAAAGTATGTAGTGAAGCTTTCACATGTTTCATCTTTTCTGCCTAGTGGTTCTTGAGAAGAAGATTTTGAAAAGATGCCACAAAATTTTCACGAATTCTTAATTATCTCCCCTCGAAAGAGGGTGTGGCACTTCTTGTGAACAAACTTGAATCCTCTTTACACAAGGATGCTTTGTGGCAAGTTTGGTTGAAATTGACCCAGTGGTTCTTGAGAAGAAGTCGAAAACGTGAAAAGTTTACAGACGACAGACGGATACCGGACACTCTTTGATCAGAAAAGCTCACCCGAGCCTTCGGCTCAGGTGAGCCAAAATGTGTGTTTTTTCATAAATTAACTATATTTCTTTGTATTTATTCACAGAACAGAGAGTTTGCATTAAATATTGATTCTCAATACACTGTGTTATTATTGCAATATATTTTATATCAAAATGAAACTTAAATATTTTTGTGTTCTTGTATACATAACAATTTGTAACAAATCTTGATTCACAGAACAAACTACCATGTGTATAACATTGTAAATATATTATAAATATATAATTGTCTTTTTTTCAACAAAAAATCTTTTTTCAAATATTATGACTCTTCAAGGCCATCAGAAAATAACATACACAATACATGGCAGCGAAAGTATATACCTTGGTGGAAATCATTTCCGGTCTGCAACACTGCAAATGCTGTACAATGGTACAGATGTCTACTTCGTTGTCCTGTTGTAGCTGTTCTATTGCGTTATATACAGCCATGAATACACCACAACATGTTGCTCCGTCCCTGTATTAAGACCAATGAATATATGTTTACAGAACAAAATACAATACGAGACAATGATATGGAATTATGGATAGTTTTTATTGTATGTTGTTGATCACACAGAAATCGAATCTGTCTATTTATCTGTTGAAAATATTTGTTTTTTATCTGACATAAACAAACTTTCGTTTTTTTTATGTTTATAGTATTTTTGCATTGTGCACTTGCATAGTACTCTTTTATAATTAGAAAGTATAAGGCAGTGACGTTTTATAAAAAATGACAAGTAAAATGACAATTATAAATGTTTATTTATTTACTTTAAAATAAATTTATTTGAGCAACACATGATCAAGCTTAAAATATGGAATTCATTTTGTAACATATGACATTGTAATGAATACGTACACAGAGACGAGAGTTACTGGGCCATCTGGTTCAGATATTCGGTCAAGGCTGAACTGTTTGATTAAATTTACGAACGTGGATGTATCAGCCGGAAGTACATCACCGATGTTCCAATCAAGGCATTCATATAAATGAACATTCTGATAACGTTTCCCCTTTTAAACATAAACAAATAACACAAAAAGTGTACCTAGATAACCTTTTATCAATGTGTTTTGTTTGTTCAATCAAAAATAAAAACCTCCCAAGAATTATTTACACAATGTTGTATGAACTTTAAGAGAAATAATTAAAGCATAAAAAAGAATTAAATTTAAAAAGGAGAATCTTCCAAACGCTGTTAACCTTCTTCTCTTTTACTTTTAGATCCGTCTTTCTTATTTCATCTTTCAAAGTTGACTGTATACTCCTGATAATTTCATATGGACCCAGCTTAAAAATCTTCACTTCCTCATCAACCCAGTCTTTCATCTGTGTGGAACAAATGTAAGATATATAACACTATTTTTTTATTTTAAAGTATAAATAAAAAAATTAATGTAAAACATCATAATTATTCTTTTTATGATTAACTTGAAGTGCTTTGTGAAATTGATAGCAAAGTTTTCACTGATTATAATAACAATTTTGCTTGATTTTTTTTTTTTATTTTCGTTATTGCTTTACTTACTCTTCTTACTTTAAATTCATATTTTCTATAATTATTTTTTTGTAATTATCGGTATGAATAAGATCTTTTATAATAGGTATGTATATAGTTGGATGACCAACGAATTGCTTTACCTCTGTTATCCCAGACAAAGGATTAAAAGATATGAGGAAATGTGACTCTTGATCAACAAGCAAGCGAGCTAAATCAATGGCAGCTCCAGTAACCGGAAGTTGAGCAGAAATAAACTCACACGGTCGAGTAAAAGACTGCATTCGAAAATTAAATCAATTTTCTTTTTAAAATTCTTGACAGCGACTTTCACGCATAACTTTAACAAAATAGAGTACATTGATTATTCTATCCTATCATTATTTAAACAATAATGCAATTTTAAAAAATCTTGATAAATAATTACCAAACGATTTTTTTTAAAAATCATGGACTACAACTCAGAAGATATTCGCTTCAATGTAATAATCAATGAAAACATACAGACACAGTCACTGCATTGTAATAATAGTCTCGACCCCGCTCGTAAGACGTCAAATACACCAAGTAGTGGTCAACTGCGTAGAGGGTAAAGTATGGAGTCATTATTGCAGTATAACAGTTTATATGATTTCTAAACATTTAGTAATTACTTATTAAAATTGTCATTTAATTATTTGAAATAACATGTACAAGTATGTCTTTTTAAAGTGAAAAAATATTCAGGTCTTATTTATTTCCCATCCAATTACACGCTTCCTACCTGGTAAAACAGATTTTGCAGAGTTCTGTGTGGGATACTTCCTACCCATTTTAAAATCGTTTGCATCATAGGCTGGTTTTAAAGTTGAAATTTTCTAATAAATCAGAAATGAAGAAAATGAAAAAAAAATTTGCTGTAACTTAAAGCCATCTTTATGCTTAAAAGGTAACACGTAAGGAAAAGTTACAACGGAAAATAATGTGACTATGAAATTTACATTGAATTCATCTGCTATTTTTTTCTTTGTTTCTCGTCTGTTGCTATCGCTATAGCATTTTATAAATTCTTCACGTTTGATATACACTCCTTTTCTTCTGAAGAACTCGTACAAAGCCTTATATAGAAAAACGTATTGATCCTGAAAATCAGAAACAGTTTATCGAAGCTAGCTTTTTACAATTAAAAAAAAATCATTTCATTTATCTTTGAAAAGATTTAAAAACTCAGAAGGATTTTCTTTTTTCTTTTTCTTTCAAATTCACGTTCACGCAATATTTTAAAACGTGCTGACTGAAAATACTGATTTGAAGGAATACTCCTCTATTTTGTCAAGGAAAATACACTGTATAAACTTTAACTTACTGCATTCTGAATTAAAGACATTCTATCCTTACGCATGGCCTTGACATACTCTATGACATTGATATTGCCCGTAGCACTTCCATACCTAGTCAGAACATCAAAGGCAACGAAAGTCCCCGTTCGTCCGATCCCGGCACTAGAAAACAACACACGCACCAATGGATGTTTCTGATTACAATGTATGACAGCAGAGTTAATTCAAATTCAACTTTGAATTAAAAAAATGTCGCATACTGTTTATTTATAGCAAGGTTACATGAACGCTTTTTATAATGAGCACAAGTAACATTAACGATTTGCCCTTGAATGTAACACACATTTTCCTTGAAATGCTCTGATTCACGTAGGCAATATTGTATGAGACATTAGGATATTTTCCTCCCTACCTGCAATGTACGAGGATTGGATGCTGAGATGGGTTCATTTTGTGTCTAAAGTGTCTATGAAAGACGACAAAATTCAATGGATTCGGTGTCCCGTGGTCTGGCCATCGGGTGTAATGAAATTGTATGACCGTCCTGGACCAATTGACCTAGAAAATTCATCATTTCATCGAAGTTCTTAAAATTGGAAGTGTATTTCTGCTCTGATAAAATGTATACTTAATATAACTAATTATAAACTTACGCTGATTTTCTGTAAAGTCATTGTCCTTATCACATAGTTTGCATACAACATCTCTTCTTCTAAATTTATGAGAAAAGGGTCTAATTTTAATTCTTTGCCTTTGTCTGGCCAATATTGGTTACATTTGATCTATAAAGAAACAACTCTACCGTATACATGTATGTATTTAATGTTTCAAAAAAAAAAAAAAAAAAAAAAAAAAAAAAAAAAAGAGTCAAGAGTTGTAACGTACACAGTACGTATGCGATTTCGGAAAGACGTGCGAGGAAGTCTGTCACAAAAAAATATTTTGTTACAATGTATATGTAGATCTTTTTAAAAAATCAAGAAACCTTTTGGAATTAGAAAAAGCATGGACGCTTGCTAATCTGCTAAAAACTATGAAATATATAATATAGTCTCTGATAATTAATTCACACCGTTGATCCCTCTGTGAGATTGGTCAGCATGACAATACATTCTACATTCTCCTGCCAAATCATTCTCCAGTGGTCAATAACAGTGTTTTCTTTTGGTCCTAAGAAGTTTGATATTTATATTCAATCTGATTATCTTAAAAGAAATTTGTGTATTGTGTAAAAGTATACCTTTTAAAAATGCCTAAAAAATATTTTCAAACTTATGTTAAGAACATGAACTAATTACACGCTTCCTTTTACCTACCTATGTATCTATTTGCAACTATTTACAAGTCAATTTTCATACCTTGACATGCAATGTATTCAGCATTTCCTTCTATATTCTATAAAAATAAACATGCAGAGTGGTTTAACTTTTAAAAAAAATATATCAGGAAAAAATATAAATTTTCTTATAGGAATATTCATTTGCAAGCAATTGCTGTACATACGTCAATATAGTTTGCATTTATGTAATCTGAGGTAAAACCATCTTCTAGTGCTAGTTTCACCCTGGAATGGTCATCTGAAATGATTTTTTTTTTTTTTTTTTACATTTTAAAATACAAAATACTTCAACTCAAATGTTTATCTTTTATATTGCATTTGATTTTCTGCTTTGATTTACTGTTTTTCTTTCTGTAATATATATATATATATATATATATATATATATATATATATATATATATATATATATATATATATATATATATATATATATATATATATATATATATATATATATATATACCGCATAACTTCGTAATAATATAATAAATATTTTCTATTGGTAGCAGAAACTACATGCATGAAAAATAATGTAATACAAATCTTACAGGGGAATGTTGTTTTGAATCTGTTTTTAAGTAGATTGTCTTCCATTTTAGCTGTGGTACAGTCAAATCTTTCCCCATATGGAAGAGACTTAAACAATAACATAAAACAACACATATTACGAAATGTAAACATTGCATTTAATGGAAAATCAAATATATCACTATGAAAAAAGATCTTTTCTCCCTCATTCATTTGTTGTTATATTGACTTAAATTCTTGTTCGCAAATGAACATATTTGCTTATTTAAATTATTCAGAAAAACCTTGAATTCCTTTACGAAACCTTCATTTTTGTTAAACTCCTTCTCTCTAATCAGGTTAAGGAGGTTAGTCACAGCAATGTCTTTGGCGACGGTTAAATTACTGTAATAAACGGCTTCCTCTGGTTTTTCTTCTTGGGGGTCCTCGTCTGGATCTTGAATTATTACAGACTCTCCACCTTTGTTGCTGGAGATTTGACTCATATCTAAAACAGAAAAAAAAATATTCACCGAGTCTTAACAAAAGAAAAAACATTTAAATTCAATACTTAATTTTGTCTGGATTTGTATATACTGAATATTCACACATATTACACGAATTTCGGAACATTATGGTGTTCCTTGAAAGTTATAAGTAAAAATATTCTACATTTTTATTTTACATGCCCATTGCACTGTTTTTCATAGCCTTGTAAGAAACACTTCTCGTCGATATTGACGATTTTTTCCTCAACCTGAAATATAATGCCCGTCTATCAACTTTACCGAGTCATTTCTCTGTGTGCAAGAAATATTTTTTTTCATGATGCATGTACAAATGAAAATAAATATCCCTTAAATACACTTTTTTTGTTTTCCTTGTTATAAAATTCCATTCGTACATAATTTTTCCTACATTGATTGATACAACTTGTACAATTCCTACAAACCTGAAAATTAGGAGGGAAGTAACCGCAATTAATAAAGACAGAAGCCCACCAACGCCAGCCCCTAGATAGACTAACATTCTGGTTGTACTATGATCACCTCTGGTCACATCTGAAATGGTAAAATTTTCTATGAATCATCACTGTTCAAGACTTTGAGCTTTGGTGCACAGCTTTGTACTTCTTTCTATAATTGAGATAGAGTGAAAAGACCCATGACAGGAAGCAAATATTGAATGCTTCTTTTTGCCGTTCTACTCTGAAGTTAAATATCACTTCATTTATATTACATAATGAATTAGATCTTACCAATACTACACTTGTCACCAGCAAAGTTCTCCACACAGCCAGAAAGACATGTTCCATTGCTCGAAAAACAGGTGCCATTCAAACAATTTGTGCTACATTTCTTTTCACATTTCTGACCATAGTGTGTTGAATCACAGACTATGAAGAAAAAATAAAAGAAAGAATATCAAAATTATATTTTGTCACAGTGTGACAGAATATCAAAAGTTTGGAAAACTCGATATTTTCCGTCCTTTTTCGTTAAGTTTTGTAAAAAACTAAATACTCTCTTGTTTTTTATAACATAGAGAGGGTAAATAAACATTCCTGTCAGAGGCAAACACTGCTAAAGTTTCTCCAAATATGTACAATTCATGAGTAAAAATGCTTTCAAACTTACAATCGCGAAGCTATGACGTCTTAACCGCTTAACTATGACGTCATAGTCTATGCCTTTGAGTGAAGAGAAAATGAAGGAAAATGTAATAAACAGAAAATATATACATGTTACATATTACGACCGTGTTACATGCATCGGCCCTTTTCAATCAGTCGTGTTTAGTTAAATACATAGCATCACAACGTTGAAAAAAGAAATTGAAAAAAAAAATGAAAATATTACTGGACTAAATATTATATTTTTGCAATAAAAAACTAACGTATATCATATATGTTACTGCACTTTACAGGGTGTTAAATAAAACATTACTTATTAAAAAAAAAAACTAAACTAATATAAAAATTAAGACACACACATGTTCATTATATGTATTCAATTACAAAAATATTTCCTTTTGCTAGTGCCAAATGAGATATAAGAATTTAGGAAATATTTTTAATTAGTTAACACTAGAAAAATACGGTTAAATTGATTATTTTTTAGTTTAGAAGATCCGGACGGAGTTTATCGACTTCGAAAAGTTGTTTTTCCACTTTCCATCGTTTTCATTAGTTTAATTATGCATTTTTCACGTTGATAACGAAGGTTTCTATAGGTGAAGCAAATTCAGCGAGCATTAAAACAAATTTCTATTTTAAACTGTTTCCTTATGAGAGACTTTACAGCAACCCACGACAAACACATGTTTATTACCAAAACCTCTATACATCCCAATCCTTAAAAAAATTCTCTTCTTGACAATCGATATACACAGAAATCAATCTGGATAACACATTTAGGCTAAAAGAAGCACTCCACTACAACGTCATCACGTGACGTCTATAAATAGAAAAAATGCCTTAATGAAAAAGTAAAAAGTTCAACACTACCCCGGGGATTACTCAATTCTTTTTGTGAAAATAATAATGTAAAAACATCACTGGGTCATGAAAAGTGCTGCTAGAATCCTACTCTCCCGACACAGAAAAAAATATTCCGAAGTTTCGCATGAAACCTTACCAAAATTATTACATTTTGTACAAACGATCAAGGAATTGTCATCAATTCATGTTTATCACACGATTCTAGCAGCACTTTCCAAGTACTATAGAATACAAGCTTTCGATACAAACAAAAATTATGTCTCAAAGTATGCGGCGTAGTGTTGAACTTTTGCGACTTTTTTGTCATAGAACGACAGAGGAAAGGCTGATCGGGATTTCAAAGCACTGCCTGTGTTCATTTTAAGAAAACATGATTAGAATATATCAGCGTACCTGATTCTTAATCTTTAATTCCTCATGAATCACACATAACATTCACGGTATATGCTTTAAAACTCCCATTTTACATATTTGTTTACATGATTTCTCGTCAGGTTTAATTTTCACTCGGCAAATATTTGATCAATAGTTATGACGTCATGGGTTTGGTATTTAACCCCTGTGGTAAATACTTAGCTGTTTATACCACCCAAAAACGACATGATTTTGTTTATATTATGTTTTTGAATGATTCCATTCATTTCTTGAACCTGAAATTAAACTTTGAATATAGATATAAGAAATCATTATTTCTAAACTTCACGTCATACAGCTTACTATGACGTCATGTTGTCGAGGCAAGTAGTATATCTCTGGGTGTAGCCTTAACATACCCGCGTACGTGATTCTTGAACTAAAATATCAATTTTCATATCAAATCTCATTTCTGAAAAAATGAAAAAAAAAAAAAAAAAAAAAAAAAAAAAAAAAAAAAAATTAGGCAAATAATCAATGCAGCATGTATTTTTTATGCTATTTAATTTAAACTTTGAGTTCTTTAATACTTGTCAAATAAAAGTTTTTACAGCATTGTAAACGTTCCAAACCATCGAGCAGAAATATACCAAGCATGTCTTCTGTTTAAAATATATTCCTTGTCACCACAGAGTTGAAGTCGTGTCATGTAGTCGTGTAAAGGACGTCTCATTCTCGGAGTCCGTGTTTTATGCCCTCTTCACATATTTGTATTGTTTATAGATTTTTATAGATCGATCAATGTTCGTTATCTTTACCTTTTACATTTGTTAACTACAGTATATTGAAGATCGAAGCTAAGGCGTTTTAATGCTTGATCCAAAAAAAAAAAAAAAAAGAATTTGTCATTGTCAAATGAACTTACTTGTACAATTATCGCCTTGCCAGCCCTTTGAACAATTACAGTGGCCAGTATGTCGAACACATGTTAAATTGCATCCATCACCACATCGGAAGTTGCATAGATTACCAAAATGTCCAGGAACACAGCCCTTAGTACAAATTCCATCCTTTTCACATGCACCACCATTGCAGTTTTTGCTACATGTTGACGTACAATTTTCTCCAAAATGATGAACACTGCATGCTGGGAAAAAATGATAGAATGTAATTCTATACGATGGAATATAATTTTATTTGTCTTAACTTAATCTTTTAGTTAAAAAATGCTTATACGAAATGAACTTACTTTCACATTCATCCCCATCAAAATTTTGTTCGCAGCCATAAACACATTTCCCATTTTCAGGATTGCAGTTTTCATTGCGACAACGTGAACTGCAGGCTTTGGTACAGTTTTCTCCCCACAATTGTTTTTGACAACCTAAATAAACATTTCTTTTTGTTATTTTTAATTCTACTGTTCCCATTTTGAACCAAATGTAAGTCTCTCTCTTAGTTCTTTCAAGATTAAGTTAATTACCCGTGTTGAGTAAAGCTTTTTACCAAAATCATAGAAATTTTTGGGTAAAGAAATGGCAGGGACATACAATTGTAACAAAACTATATCTGTCACAGTGCAATAAGGTTGCATAATAATCTGTTGTTGAATTCGCTGTTGCAAAAGATTTGAAGTGAACTTAATAGTGGAGTATTATGAAAAGATAGAAATGGTGAGTGATGAAATTAGGATTTTGTATTCGAATGAATTCAAACTCGGGGATGCTGCTGCTGAACTACACGACCCGTGTAAAAACAAAAACATGACCCCCTTCGAATAATGAACAGTAAAGAAATAAGGACCCCTATCGAATGATAAGCGGTTGTCAATTTTCAACAATATTGAAGGTCTTTATTCGATGTCGAAAGGTAATTTCCTGTTATTATTCTATGTAGAAAAAAAATTGCCTCGTATACGTAAAGCATGCCAAAACACTATACATTAATTATACCTGAAGGAAAATGACCCACATAGAGTAATATCATTTTAATTTTTATTTTGGATGTTTATTTCTTTTGTATATGTCTGAGTAAAATAACTCTGAATTTCATATATACATATATTGAACATAAAGCAAATTGATGCCAGTTTGCCAAAATGCTCATTTGAGCAAAATTGACCAAACAGAGTTGAGATGAAGCCTTATCAAATCTTCCTAATGTCCACTCCTTAACCTACGAGTCACTTGACTCTTGGTAATAGATAAATAAGTTCAAGTACATTATTAGAATGCTTCCTTATCGATTTGACAAAATGCTTCCTTATCCTAGATATGTCTGTATGGAGTTTTTCTAAATTGACATAGGTGTAAAAGTTAGGAACCCTAACGCACTCTTGTAGTAACATTTTGAAAGATATTTCCTTATATATAGCTACTACTTTAGATTATTGACTTATGATGGGGTTCAAAGAACCCAAAAACTGGAATGAAATTGAAATAAACACTTTATAAATGTCTTTTATAGATATTTGACCAACTTATATATCAGTTTTTCTTGAGAAAATTTTCAACGTCACTCTCTTATATATTCCATTTTAGGACCTTAATTCTGGCCACAAAATGAGCACAGGACCAACCATTGAAAGACATTCCATATTTCGAATATAGTATTCTTATTTATCCGAGTAGCTCATTTATTCAGAGTAGTTTAATCATTGTAATGGTTATAAGACAGCATCATATTAGTATTTATACCATTTTAAAATCTCTTACGAAGTTTTATGTTTTATTTTTTAATCAGAAAAACTTAGTTTTCCTTTCGTAAAAGAACTACGAACGATAGTATTGTTCTCCCGCCTAACTCCAAGTCAATTTTTATAAGTTAATATATTTGAATGATTTTTCATATTTATATTGACAATGATTTGAATTTTCAACCTGGGTATTACTCCTTATATATAGCTTGGATGCACGCTGATGGACACAAATTCCAGTTTACATAGACTACAATCTATCATAAATCTCGATTTATATGCAAGAGTTCTTAAACGTCATTTTTACAATCAAGATGCTAAAAACACAATATTTTGACGTCATTTACAGAATGATTACGTCATACAAAATCAAAAGTGAAGTTCCAACACGTGCATATTTTTTTTTTTTTGCTCTTCGTTATGATATTAAGATTTTATTTCTGTACAATGAAATCGTTATCAAAAAATTAAAGATTGACTTCAAAGTAATAAATAAACGAAGTATTTTAAAAGAAAATAGTACAATTCTCTTTTCTGCTTGAATTTTCAGTAAGGCGTGACATTCTCGGCTATACATAATTAGCGTCTCTCAAATAATGACATAGATTCTCACTGGTTGCCAGATTAGCTCATCAATACTGAAATTTACACAGCTTTTCATTCACGGGTGAAATACACATGGGATAAAATGGTTCAGACGTCAACTAGTGATGCAAGAAGCTAATTACATCGTTTCTTACAGTAAAGAGGTGTGGCTTATGCCATGTCATTGTTTGTTAACAACAATCTAAAGTTGCTAATGTTATAAATTTCTCAACCAATGAGAATCTAGGTCACCATTTGAGAGACGCTAATTATGTATCTCCGAGAATGTCACGCCTTACTGAAAGTTCAAGCAGAAAAGAGAATTGTACTAAACCCCCAAGCAAAGTCAATTTTACCAAAAATCTGCACTTCACAAATTTCCAGCACAGGTCCTGATGAGTTTGTGTCTGTGTCGTGATATTCTGTTTGTATAATTATATACCTGGCTACCTGCTTGCAGTTTATATCCGTAATATTTGAGGGATAATCTGGAAAAGTAGTATTGTCTGTGTAACACCTGAAACTCTTCTCTATATCTGAATCAGACACCGAGGAGTTGGAAACATCAAGATGGAATTGTCGAAATCGCTTTGGTCGCCATTTTTTGCCTATTGATAAATGTTTAAGTAATTTTTAAAGCACTTTCAAAACATCGTAAGTCAAATTTAAAACTATATGTTTCACCTAGGCAACGAACATCTTCTTTGATTAAGCTAGACAAATAATTTTTATTATGTTCATGTAGGAGGGCTGCCAATATTGTTTTGGTACGCAATATGTATATCTAGGATTAACAAGTTTGAAAAAAAAACTTTCATTGTCCACGAACTTTATAAACAACCCTCGTATGTCATTAAATCTAAATTTACTTTGGAAAGCATCTTCATAACAATTATTTCATTTTCATTTTTTTTTTCGATTATAAGAAAGGAAAAGCAAACTAATTCTTTCAATTTATATTTTGTCTCTATATATATGTTTTATATGCAATGAAAACATTCATTATATAATATTTTCTCAAAAAGCTGAAACATACGAAATTAAGATAATTTAGAATCATAATTTTTATTTTTTAAAATTCATTGTTTATCTAAAACTATTTGTCATTTTGTCATATTTATCAATATTTCCATGAAAGTTTCATTTTTCTCTGAGAGTAGTATTACCTTCATCTCTATAATATATCTTTATTTTGTCTAGACGGAAAGTATCGCTTAAATCAACCTGATACCATGCAGATTCGTTTTTATCTAAGGCTGTATGTGCGCAATACTGCTCGATTTGCTGTGTATTTCCGTCAATCCCATACGAAGCATTTCGATTTTTGTATGTTGAACTCTGGCTAGCTTTTGTTGTTCCTCTTCGACTTAAATTTTCTGTTTAAAAATAAATAATAGTTTTAATAATAAAAAAATGAGAATAATCATTTAAAAAAAAGAAAACGAAATTAACAAAATTAGATAAATCAAAACAAAAATAACGTTATCAATAACGTTATCAGGGTACTAATTGGAGACTAATTTTGTCGCCATGGCGGCTAAAATTTTTGATTGGTGCCTAAAAATTCTTCATAAGTCGCCACATTGACGACCATAGAACTTTTACTTGATGGCCATTAAATACCGGAATTATTAACAATTTCCAATTTTCCTAAAGAGCCGAAAATTTAAAAGAAATGAAAGTTGAGCATTTTTTTTTTCAGAAATAGACATTTTTTTTGGTTACATTTATTATTTGTTTTGTCAGTCAGTGCACGTGCGTACGAAATTTATTGTCGCACAAAGAGCACAGATAGATAAGACCATGGCTGCTCCCTTTAATTCTTGGTTCCAGAAAATGGACAATTTGTGAATTGCATTAAATTTTACGTATGATGTGGTCAATTGCCAATCAAATAAATCTCACTCATTACAAATATCCTCTACACATGAGTGTTAGATCGTAATTTTACAGACGAGAATAGAATTCTAATCATGTAAACAATTCTCGATATTATTACAGTTTTAAAGAGTATTTGATTAGATCTAGCGTTCTTTATTTCTCTCCCTCTCGATTTGGAGTTTACAAGCATGCATAACATGAAAACCTTTTTGTTTTTAACTGGTTTATATTTCATGGTAATTTTTTTTTCACGAGTTAAAAAAAAATTAATTAATCTATTTTTCAGCTAGTACATTGATTGCGTGTGGACAGTGAAAAGATTAAGGGGCAGTGTGTTATAAGCATGTAAAATATATTTGCAAAGTAAAAAAGAAAACATTCTTTTTACATTCTACATTGAACATTTTCTAGTTAATGTATCTCCAACATTACTATTCCGACTGGAAGAGGTTGGGGCACAAAGATACTCACACTAGACACCTCCTCCAGTGTCTACCCCAATCAGTCCCTATCTTGACTCATTATCAGCTCTTATAATTTGATCCTAAGAAAAATTTGCCTCGCAAATAAGAATTTACATTGACGACAATTTATTTTATTAGAAATCAGATGGCGACTAATTTTTAGAGGTCACTTACATGTAAATGCCATAACTTATGGCATTTTTTAATGGAACTGTCCATCTTTACTATCCGGAGTCATCCCCGTTTTTCTTCCATTTAAATTTCTGTATGTGTCTCTAATCGAAATTTCTCGGGCCTCTCCGAGAAGTAGAAAAGCAACCTCTAATGGCCAGAATGTGTTACGTAGGCATATATGACAACCCCCTTTGAAATAAATGTAGGGAAACCTCTGTTCTGTAGAGTTTGGAGCTCATCTTTATTGAATGTAATAATATTAAATAAAATTTTCTACAGTGACTTTGAACACTGGGTGATGTTAATACAATAAAGGTTGTTTTCCCGACCTCTGGCGAAAATACCCGAGATGATGTGATTGTATGTGTCTTTTCTAAGCTAATTCTCCTTCAAATCCTTTTACCTGTAATATATACCTCAGATTTTATAATTCAAATCTGAATTCTGGTGCACTCGGTCTTTTCTGTAGCTGGAAACAATAAGACAAGTCATTTAACCTAATATTTAAACTCATAAGACACTCCTGTGAATGTTTCATGTATTTTTAATTCAAAAAACATCTTCTCTCTTGAGCAATTTAAAGGTAGTAGCTAGGTTAGAATCAGTTTTCGGCGGTAAACAGAGAGTTGCTATAGATTTTTTTTAAATAATATGATGGAAAAAGTCTTTTACAATGACGTTTAAACTAAAAATACATGTTTTTCAAAATAGACCGTTTTCTACACAACAAATTTTACAAAAGAATATAATATATAAACTGAGATATTTGAATAAGTTTACAAGTAAGAGAGAGAGAGAGAGAGAGAAAGAGAAAGAACATTTAATCGACTGATATTGTAAAGTTGTAAAAATGTATGGTAATATAGCGTTTTAGATTGTCTTGTCTCCACGTGCTAGTCAATACAGCAATACACTCTAGGTATATTTCCTTGAATAATTTACGTAATCAATATTAAGAGCTGGCATTATTATCCATCTGTTCAGAGCAAGAGCTGCTGAAAAATCCTCGGGTATCATAATATGTTGAACACCGAAAAAATCCCAACAAACGGTATCAAAATTCAGTTTCAAGCGGTTTGAATATGTGGTTTGACATGAATACATGTCTATATCATCTAGATATTTTCCTTAACTTATAGTGCTTTGTCAAGAATATTTTCAGTAACAAGAGAGTATGTTCTCATTTGCTTACATAATGATTAAATAAATTAAAAGTGCAAATAAGGAAATGAAAAAAAGAAGTTAATGTTTACACATGTGGTCCTTGAAAATATTGATTTCATTACCTTAAGCCACAAACAGTGTTATCAATTACGAAACATTGAAATAAATTTTCCTATTTAATAACCTGCTGTTCTTGATTAGAACATTAATAACTTTATCCGCAATCCAATCTTAAAAAATTATGACACCTATTGTGAAGCATAACAACTTCATAATTTGAATACTGTGAAATCACTACTTTTCGTGAGGGTTTAATTTTCAATGAATCCGTGGTATGAAGAGACTTACGAATTCATGTCTCCACAAATTGTAGAATTTTGAATTACGCGATGCAGGAATTATAACCATCATGCTACAATGTATGTTACGAAGTTTTCAAAAACTTTACTTGGATTTAAGCAAACTTCTCGCTAGAGTGTTTTCAACACATCTGTTAATCTTTAAGTTATAAGCAAACTTTGAGGAAGATGAATTGTGTAACTAATGTGTAACTTATGTTTTTCCTCAAACCTCGAAAATTTGACCCCTCGGAATTATGCTGTTGCAGTATACACAGTAAACAACCAACCCGGGATCTTTTTCATATTAATCATTGAATAATTTTGCATTTGCGGTTACGCAATTGTTATTCGGTCGCCAATTATTAGAGTTTAAATGTATTTAAACTACACAAAATAGGACGCGTGCATATAAATTTTATTAAATATGACCTTTCTCCTTTTGACAAAGTAAATTTCAAGACTTCTTTTCCATCGCAGAAGTTGATATGCTATTGTAATTAGAGTAAATGATTCAAGGAAACTTGATACTACAAGTAATATAGAAAATGTATATTTATATGAAGGTTTATTTATTTGTCCCAATGAGTCTAACCTAAATGTACCATGACATATGGAGATAAAGAACAGTATTCAAGCTCAAAGTCTATTTAAACAACAGAAATCGGGAGCAGAGGAAACGCGGACCTCCAAAAACATAAAAGGTGGAATCACGTGCCATAGAGGAATGAGCATCCCCCTACCGACCGGTCACACCCTCCGTGTGTTCCCTGTCATGATCGGGAAAAAACGGAAAAATCCGCATACAAATCAGTGTATAAATAATGGCTTACAATTAATATGAAAAATGTCAGTCAACATTAAAATTAATAATAAGTTGTATTTGCTGCCAAGATCATTGAATGTACCATAAAACTTCAGAAATGATGATTCGAAGGAGACTGTTAATATTCTTGTTTTCATCAACTTGTTTGTCAAAAGCTTACCTCTTTTAGGAAATTGTTCATACGTAGAACATGCTCTTGCTTATCAAATCAACTGAGAGTAAATTATCTATTATTCATTTCACCCCGTAAATGTGTATGATTCAGTCTTGCATTTGCATTTGTTATGAAAGTCTTTGCAATATTTGATTCCGTGCTTAGGTGTTGGATCTGATAATTGCGTAAATCTGGAAACATCAATTGACAACCAACTGACAGTAAGCTCTAGAAATGAGCGGACAACGGACATATTTCAATAAAACAAAATTGCATTTGAATGGTTGGTCAGATGAGCTAAATTCATAAGAAAATCTAAAACATGCAGAATTGTTGAAATTTTTATTTATACGCCGAAAGAGGAACGAAAATGACATGCATTTAAAATAAGTCTTAATAAATCACACGTTATTCAAAGGATTTGAACGAGTGATAAAAAGAATCTTACTGTATCAAAGTAACTACATTAATCGTATTGACACATCCATTATGATAATATTTGTTTCTGAATTCGAATAAAAAATGTGCATGTTTCATGTTACAGATTAAGGTTAACTGAAGCATTATATTAGTATTAAAACCATAAAAAGAAATGTGATGAAAACCTACCAGATCCGTTATTGACTCCAAGAAAAAAAAGAATATAAATCATGTGTATGCCTAGGGTAGCCATTGCAGGTAGCCGAAAGGAAGTTAAATGAAATATTTCCCTGTATGAGTTTTGGAAAGCAAAATAATTTATTTATATTAGTTTATGTTAATTCCTGTTGATAGATGGATTCAAAAGTTTGATAAAAGGAATGAATTGTAACTTAAACCTTAGAGCATGTAATAAAAAAAACTACCCCTTTCTCCTCGAGACCAAGTCCAGGGCATCATAAAAAATCTTCCTAAAACCTTTCTTGTGACATTTATGCATCCAAATGCCTAAAATTATACCTTACTAGCTCACAATTATCCAAACATCACTCATTTTTTCTAACAGGTTTAATAGACGCTACAAATGAGCCGTTCTGTAAACACAATAGGCATTTGACCATGATTGCCACCTGCGATGTCAGAGCAATGGCGCCTAACATCAAAATAGGCATATTGAGAAATTCAGACATTGAATACCTGAAACATTAAGAATATTAATTTTCTTGCAAATAATTTTAAATGGTTGATTTTAATAGCGTGTAAACTTTGTCATATTTAAAAAAAATGAGACATGATAAAAATCCTTTAATTATTCTGATAAAGGAATCTAATGAGGAACGAGCGTGTTTGAAATTAATAAGTAATAAGTTACAAAGATGGATGTAAAGACGAACAATATGGTACATATTACCGAACAACATGTACATTGACATTATTCTATGTCCCGCAGTGCATGATGACATAATTAATTATCATTGAATGCAGTATAATCTCGAAATTAAAAGCACTCAGAAATCTTGAATAATTAATAGAAGTATCATTAGGATATTCATCTGGTTCTATTCATTCATTCATGATTGTATACGATATTAGTTAACACACCACCATACAGTTATAACTAGCTTCAGGAGTGAAAGAGGTACATAGCATTGCTCAGTGATTACGTTGTGTCTTGGACTATTTTTCCTATATATCATAATCAATTTTGTCATTTTCTTAAATGCCAGTACCGTTTCCCAGTGCAAGAAAAAGACATTTTTCAGACCTTATCATTTTTCAGTCAAACAGCCAAGAAAATATTACATGTATATTTCAACCGTGCAAGGAGGCATGGATTATTGTGTTTCAGAGTGTGTGAGAGACCCAAAGTGTTCGTCCGTTCTATATAATTCTCCAAGTCAGTTATGTAAATTGTTACGTTGTTTGTTAATTCCTGAGTACATTATTCCAGATACTTCAGAGAATGGATGGGATTATCATGCCAGTGAAAATGGTAAAAGAAATTCAATTCTCTTTCTCTCTCTCTCTTTTTCATTTTGAAAATTACCAAACTAGTGATGCTATGAGTAAAAATTTTACTGTTTCTGTTTAAAAATATAATTTCAGCATGTAGTGACGGCTGGTTCCGGTTTGAGGATCATTGTTACTTTAACAACTTTACGGGCAGTAAATGGAACGATGCACAGGTATTTTTTTTTTATTATTTATGAATACGGGAAAGACAAAGGTCTTGAGAGAACTAATGTTATGAACTGCTCGGAATACGGTAAAATCACTCAGTTTCGGGGGGATTCAATTTAAGTTCGAGGAATGATTAGACCCACCAATTCATGTCCAACTCGAATTGTGAAATTTTCAGTTATGTAATATCATAGCACTTCTTCATCCACAAAATCAAATCCCCACTAACCATGCAATTTTTTCCCTCAAACCACAAAAATTTCACTCCAAGAAAATATGGAATTTTACAGTATTTTAAAGAGAAATTGTACATGAAAATTTATGCCTTCCTTTTCTCTTCATCTTATTTTCATCTTATTTTCCTCGTTTTGAAGCGAAAATTGTTTCATGTCATGCATTATTGAAAGAAATTAAAGAATTCAAATACTTTTTTTCTCTACGAAGGAAAAATAGATTTTGGTAGTTTTTGTTATTCAAATGTGCTTACAGTAAGTCAATAGTTCGTGAATTCCTTTGGTTCTGATAATTTTGTAGCATTTTTTTTTCATTGTAGAGTGTTTGCAATCAACATGGCGCTTACTTGGTGGAAATTAATTCGAAGTACGAAAATTTATGGCTTGATAGAGAATTAACTAATGGTAAATGAGGGTGATTCTGAATTCTTAAATGCAGACTTTGTTGAGGATAATCGAAAGAAAACTTGTTGTCTGGGGAGAATAAAATATAGATAGTGTTAAAATATCAATAACAGTGGACCGGTCTCGGTAGCTTAGTCGTAGGCGCTCTCTTCGTGATCGGGAGGCCCGGGTTCGATTCTCGTTCGCCGCGCCGCGTCAGACCTAAGACGTACATATAGGTTCCTTCCCAAAGCGCCCGGCACTAGAAGTGAGAGTCACGGGTCTTTCGGATGAGACCCTAAAAACTGAGGTCCCATGTCACGGTAGGCGTTGGCACAATAAAAATCCCTCACTGCTAAATAGCCCTGAGTGCCGAGTAAAGGTCTAAATTTGAAGCCTTTCACCGGCGTACGGTGACGTCTCTATATGAGTGAAATATTCCTCGAATTGGACGTTAAACAACATACAATCAATCAATCAATCAAACAATCAATCAAACAATCAACAACAGTATTAAAACTTAACATTAAATTGTTTGTTCATAACTAACCTACTGTGTATTGATAAATTTTATTTGAAACACATAATTTGATTTCACCATAAATCATCAAAATCAACTACACTTGAGGCAGGGGTGGTATATAAGTAGAATTAAATAATTCTTTTTAATATGCATGCAGAAAAGTAGTTGAACAAAGTCTATTTTCTACAACATTTTAGAGTATATATATAATTCTGTACAGATTCAAGATCTTATTCACTTGCCGAAATGCCGAAGTTCATGATCGAAGCATAAAATTGAAATATGACGTGGGAAAAGATGGCTCTACCTTAAAAATGTCAGAGAAATTGATAAATTAAAACATTTTTTGTATATTTCACAAGCGACCTACTACGTCTTCACATCCTTCCTTTGAAACACCCAATTTTCATTTCGAATTCATTTTAGGTAACGTACCACCGTACCCTAAAATAGATAAACCTTGATTTGCATGTAGGGAAATAATAATCATGCTTTTTATATACAGGTTTCTATTGCGGTGTCTCTATGTGGCATCTCTTTACACACGAGAGAAACCGCTGGATCGGAGCTACAGACATAGTGACTGAGGGTCAGTTCCTATGGAGTTTCTCTACCACTAAGCTGGATTTTCACAACTGGAGGAATGGAGAACCAAATAACAGACGCAAGGAAGAATACTGTGCCGTGATAATGAAGGACGGGCAATGGAATGATTTGAAGTGTTTCTGCAATCAGGGTTTTATTTGCGAGAAGAATTTGTTTTAGTTCACATTTCCTTGAAATAAATGTTAAAATAAAGGGTTTGAATATGGTATGACATACAACTTACTAGCTCTGTACTTGAGGTTTATTGTAGCTACTGTATAAATACTGTATATATATATATATATATATATATATATATATATATATATATATATATATATATATATATATATATATATATATATATATATATATATATATATATACTGTATGGAAGGTTTATATCAAGGAAGTTTTATCTATTGAAATTTTCCAAGAACATTTTAATTCCAAAATAATTATTAACATGCTTAATTTTAACATTAATATTGTATGTCTAATTCATCCGCACAGCATTAATACGCTTTTACAGGTACTACAGATATGATCAATTTAATAGTGAGTGATTTATCCTCGACCTCGTTCTTTCGTTGAGTTTCTTCTGATATGTACATATACAAAGCTCTGACAAAATATTATATTGCTTTTCCCTACAGGTCCTTTCTACTCAGTTCCGTATTAAACACACAATTTGGTTTTCTTTTTGTATTTTGTTAAATATTGGCATAAACGTTGTCCGTATTCAGGAAATCACAAACAGCTTTAAAACAGAATGCATATTCTTCCTGAAACAGAACAAGAGAATATTGAATGTTGTCTATTAATAAGAAACTTTTTGATGAATAATCTTTCTAGTAAATTCCTTTGTTTTTATTTATAGAAGTAGAATTTTGTATCAGATGATGATTCTCAATATTAATGTTGCAATATATATTGATATCTTGGATAGCAAAAATGAATCTAAAACATTTTTTGTGTCCCTGTATACAATGTTCAAATTTACAATAGCGATTCACAGAAAAAAAAATTACCATGTGTAAATATAGTACCAAAATATATTATAAAATATTTTATCTTCACATATTTTGTTTTTTAAGGTCTTTAGGAAATAACATACATAATCCATGGCAGTGAGAGTTACTACCTTGGTAGAAATCATTTCCGGTCTGCAACATTGCAATTGCTGAACAATGGTACATATGTCAACTTCATTGTCCTGGTGTAGCTGTTCTATTGCATTATATACAGCCATGAATACACCGCAACATGTTGCTCCGTCTCTGCATTAAGACCATTGAATATACATACAGGACAAAACAAGTTCTTTATTGTAGTCATTTTCTATTTTGCACCGTTTTAAATTCTTAATTTATCACTTAGAAATCGAATGTGTCTTTTTTATCCTTGAAAATTTAAGAGTCATTCTCTGTAATGACTTTAACTTTTATATAGGAGCTGTGGCACGCATAGTCTCAGAATTTCTCCAAACTCTCTATGATAAAAGTCTTTGATGCTGTAAACTAAAATCAGGCAAAAATTGGTTGCTACGTGTCATGGTTACCATAGCAACATGTCCTAAAGTTTGAAAAATGGCATTTTTCAACATGTTCAGAGTCCCACAGTTAACGTTTGCAGCAAAGCAAACAACTGACAAGGGTTGTTTCTGAAAGTTGAAGGCCTGATGTCTTAAATGCATTATAAACATGTTTGGTAAATCAACTATTACGTACGTTACTATGGAAACAAAGTATTCAAAAGTAATAATTTTGTTCATTTAATTTTATAAAGTCGTACACTTAAGAATAAAAACAATTATAGGTTGAAATGCAAGCATATAATAGACAAGAGATACATGTAACATATACCAAGGACGAAATATGATATTTCTTATAGGTTGGCAATGGTTGCCATGGTTTTAATACCACAAAGGGATTTTAAAATTACTCTCTTAGTGTTTTGATCTTATCCTATCTTTTTAAAAAGCATATTTCTATATAACTGATGATCAATTTTTAAAGGCGTTTGTGTGACCCTAATTTTCACATTTCAAAAAATTCAAATTCAATTCTTTAAATAGAGCGTTGCTATGGAAATTAGCCGAAAAAATATTCATAAAAATCTGAAAAATATTCTGTTTCCTTGGATACGTACCTTTGTATGTAGATTCCCAAAACTTTTATGATTGATATACATGAACAACTAACCTGACTTTCAATTTTGACTACCACCCAATCTCTAACTGGATGCAAAAAGCTGGCACATAGGATATAATATTGATATAAAATTAACAAAATCGAACATTTTCCCTTCTTGGTAACCATAGCAACAGAGTTGTATTTTTCAACAAACTTTATCAATATATGATATTCAACTTTAGTTCTACCAGATAAGTACTATTCAAGGTGAGAAAATGAATTTGTTTCTATATTAATTGGTAAGTAAATTACTAAAGCAGCAAACAAAATATCACTTTAAACAACTGGTATGTTGTTTCCATGGTTACATTGCAAAGCAACAATTAATCCCAATTTTTCTTATGTTGTCGGTGTTGCAAGGTCCTAAGGATGTATATGTGCCAGTCATGAATTTTATTGTTTTACCAAAAAATAGTAGCATTAACCCAATCTTAGCAACAGATTTCGCATGGATACACTGTGTTACCATGACAACCATGAAAGTTATTTATAGAATAATATTGCCAATACCTAATTACTTAAGGTCAAGTAGTTTTATTGTTTTTCTTTGGTTGTTGATTGAGTTTGATCCTGTAACATCTATAATTAGTGAATATTGAGCATTTTTCAGCATTTTTCAGCATCTAAAATGTATTCCAAATGTATCCATGGTTACCACTTACTTAGAGATAGATTCTAAATAGTTTCTTTATAGCATAAGTGGCAACAAGGTACAGTCCCTGAAACGTTCTACTTTCCAATTTTTCCGTTCGCTCACCGTTCGTTCACCGTTCGTTCAGCGTGCGTTCACCGTTCGTTCACCGTGCGTTCACCGTTCGCTCTCCGTTCACAGTTTTGCGTTCACCGTTCACCGTGCGCTCGCGTTCACCGTTCACAAAGCGTTCAGCGTTCGCTCTTCGTTCCGTTCACTTTGCGTTCACCTTGCGTTCAGCGTTCACCTATCGTTCAGTTTTCATTGTCATTCGGAACTCGGAAGTGAAAGGACTTATCTTTTGGTAGTTAAGGAGTTACAGGTTTTTTTTTTTTAAATTTATTAACTAACATATCGTGTTTGAAGAATCATTATTTCATGAGGAAAAATATCTACGATATATATTTTTATTATTCTAACTTAGCTGTTAGGTTATTTATTAAATTACTCTGGAAAATAAATGTTGTTACAAGCACATTCTGAAACCTATGTAGAACGATGCTGAAATATTAAATTTAACTAAGGGCAATGTGCAAATACTTCAAGCACTGCAACATTTTGTTGTTTTGTTAAAGACGACAAATCATTAATGGAGATATAATTATTCAAGTCAAATAATTACGCAGCAAAATTACGAAAATATTTATTTCTAATACGTTTTTTTTTTCAATTACTACGGAAAATATAATAGAACTAGTACTAGTTCTGAGAGTTATACATAGTACTGCGGATATCCTGTTAATTTATTATCTTCAGAACGAATTAAATTGATTGAGTGGTTAAAGGAACTATTTATTTAAAATGTAATGCACTACAGAATTTACTGTAATATGTAAAGTCTATAGTTATAGAGAAAAAAAAACTTTCTTCACCGTAACTTTATATGTTTGCCATTCGATATGATTAATACCCCCTCCTCTTTCCCCCTAAATCGGTGACTTAGTCAGTACCGTATTTCCAGAATATTTTAATTAACATTTAAAAAAAAAAAAGCTACGGTCTTTTTTAGAACAAAAATTTCAGTCTCAAAACAAACATGCATCTAAAAAAGTCACAAAACAATAGCAGATCAAAATGTACACGTGTCGGCGGTGGTATTTGAAATTGGCAGAGAGTGTGTTTCACATTCAAGTGTTAATGCCCAATGTATTTTACAAATTTATTATTCAAATGTTGGAATCAAATCTAGAAATGATAAAAATAAATGTTATAACTTGTTGGAAATACTCGTACTTCGTCTTCGATGTGACGAAACTTTCACACCTGCACAGCGTCGAATGATTTTGATTGACAGGACAAGCACGTGGACTTCGTGTGAACTTGAAGCAGGAAAATAAAAACGATTATGACTGTCAAACAAATGGATATGATTTGTTGATAAAAAAAAAAAATACTTTCACTGTCTGATATATTTAGAAATTTTTTTTGTGTGTTTTTGTGTGATATAGGTACAAACATTTGGTGAAGCCTGAAGGAGGGGGGCTAAAACTGAATATTTCTCTCACTCTCTCTCTCTCTCTCATTTGTCTGTTTAATAAAAACTATAACACCATATTACTTAAATATCAAGTTCTGAAAATTGAATTTATAACAAATAATATGGATATGTATCTTTGTATCATCATGATCTTGTCCGAGTATAATCACGGCCATCTAGAGATGCATGTAGACATCTGCTCAATAAATCATAATGAAAAATAGAAATGACACATAATATATTATTGTATTAAAAATTTAAAATACGAGCGTATAAATGTAATTAATTTTTTTTCATTACTTTACACGAAATCGCCTTGACACGGAGACACACACACACACACACACACACACACACCCTCACACACATATATATATATATATATACATATATATATATATATATATATATATATATATATATATATATATATATATATATATATATATATATATATATATGAATATAAGTTACAACCGCTTTAATTCATTCTATAAATCATAAGTTTTCTCTGATTTGTTATCAACTAAGAATAAACATTTTTATTTTCCAACTAAAAACAATATCTTTTATACTTCAGCGTTCGGCAACAACTGCAATGTTTTAATGCGATAAAAATCGTGTGATTAAAAACTTAATATGCATGCATCGTCTTTCTGAGGACAATTTTGGAGAATTTGTTTTATTGACTTAATTATTCATTCATTTGTTTTTTGCACCTGACATTATAATACAATAAAATAGTTTCAATGCAAGGAAAAGATCAGAGGCATTCCGAATATATCGTTCATCTTGCGTTCACCGTTCGTTCACCGTTCACTTTGCGTTCGCGTTTGCGCTCCGTTCGCGTTCTGCGTTCGCTCACCGTTCACCGTTCACACATCGTTCACCAAGTTGCGTTCAGCGTTCACACATCGTTCACTCACCGTTCGCTCTGCGTTCGTTCAGCGTTCGTTCACCGTTCGTTCAGCGTTCGCTCACCGTTCAAGTGGGAAAGTAGAACGTTTCAGGGACTGTATCATGTTTTTGTGAGAATGGTTTGTTTGTTTCTTTTAGTCTTTATTAAGGCTTAATAAAGATTCAAAGTAGCTGAAAATCTTAATTTTTTCAACTTTTCTGGCTGTTACCATGGCAACCAAGACACATAGCAATGAAATTTTGTTTGATATATGTTTCTGGTGTCAAGTTGTAATAATGGGCAAAGTTTCATCAAAATCGGTGACCATGCGTGGCAAAGAAGTTTAAGTGGTTACAGAGAATCACTTATTTTTTCCCATCATTCTTTTTATATTTTAAAAGTATTTTTCCATTGTGCCTTTGGATTTTCATAGCCACGTTTTTTTTTATTAGAACACACAAGGCAGAGACGTTTGAAATGACAAGTAAAATGACAATTATTTTTTTTTTTTTTAAAGTTTTATATCAATTTTTCAAAGTAATATATGACGCAACTTATTATTTCCACTTGCATATTCTTACGTATAACATTATAATAGATACGCACATGGGGACAAGTGTCAATGGTCCATCTGGTTCAGATTTTCGGTCAAGACTGAACTGTTTGATTAAATTTATCAACGTGGATGTATCAACAGGAAGTACGTCATCGATAATCCAATCAAGGCATTCATATAAATGAACATTTTGAGTTTTTCCCTTCTAAACATAAAAAAAAAATATTTCTTTTTAAATTATTCTTAAAAACTGTTTTGAAAAACTACTACCTTTTCTCTATGCATCTTGTTCTTTTAAAAGAAATAAAACAACAAAAACGTAAAACTATTTAACAATATGTTTTATGAACCATAATATTTTGATTTGTGAAAAAGTTATTATCTTCTAAACACAGTATACCTTCTTCTCTTTTATTTTTAGAGTTGTCTTTCGTATATCACTGTTCAAAGTCGACTGCACACTTCTGATAATTTCGTATGGGCCCAGCTTGAAATTCTTCACTTCCTCATCAACCCATTCTTTCATCTGTACGAAGTAAATAGAACATATATGACGCCATTTTTCAACATATGGACAAATAAAATATATGCAGGACATTATAATACATTTTTCACGATTTTTTTTTAAATACTCTTTGAACTTAATGCTATATTACTCACAGGATATTTTCATTGATAATAGTTTTTGCTATGTTTATGGTTTTTTTTTTTAAATTTTCTTTTTATTTTTAAGGATTTCACCTTAGGCTTGACAATGCATTGAATCAAAAGTGTTAAAAATTACCTTTCTACTTTTAAAACACATTTGTTGATAACAAATTTTTTAAATAGGTATAGTCCTCTAGGAAAAATTAGAATTTTTCAATTTAAATTTGTAAATGATACAAATTTGAATTGAAAAATTCTAAATGTTTGTAGAGGACAGTATGGATGAGAATTCTATGGATGAATGCACATGTTCTTATTTACATGCAGATATGAAGTACAAATTGCGTTACCTCTCTGATGCCTGACAAAGGATTCAAAAATATAAGGAAATGTGACTCTTGATCAACAAGCAAGCGAGCTAAATCGATGGCAGCACCAAACACTGGAAGTTGAGCAGAAATAAACTCACAGGGTCGAGTGAAAGACTGGATGTGAAAAAAAAAAAATCAACATTCTTTTTTTAAATTCTTGACAATGACTTTCACATTAAATTCTGGGATAACAACAGTATTCAAGTTCAAAGTCTATTTAAAAAAATACACAGCTAGGTTAAGGCTGTCCGAAGGCTTAATATGCATTAAATATATACTATTTTATATTGAGCAATGTTTAGATTTCAATTTGTAATCTATGTATGCATACACAGTTAAGTTGTAAAGAAAGTTGAATAAGGTATTAGAAAAAAGCGTTTTTGTGATGTCACATGACTGTGTTGATCACGTGACGGACACTTATAAATTTTCTTAAATGTTGCACAAAAATCGCATCGGCACAAGTGAAATACAAAATTATTGTAATCGGCTTGTTACATAAACCAATTAAACGTATTCTTGGGTATATATAAAGTGCTGGGGGCAAGTCTGAATTTTATTTCATTAGAATATATTTCACGAGAAATTCAACTTACCCATATACAAGGGGTCATTTTCCACTCTTCATCGCAATTTATACAAAATAGGATAAATTACATACAATCCCCCAGCAAAATTCAGTTAGAGAACATATTTCTCTAGTAGATTCACACAGAATATCTTCAATAAATCCTTATTATTCATTTGTGCCAGTCTAATATATATAAGATTTATAGATTCTAACTCTCTCTATAGACACGTAAGGGGGAAATTTCACATCCCTTTTTTCAATTGTTTGAATACGTACATGTTAGAAAAGAAAAAGTAATAACGATATTATACTGCAAATATTCACCATCATTACAGCCTTAAAACAACAATTCAGACACACGAATTAAACATCAACATAAAAAAATTCTACATGTGATGTGAAAGGAATGTAAAAGTTATGACTCTTTCCCCGTCATGTCAGCTCAAGTATGCATTGACTTGACGTCATATGCCATTATGACGTCATATCTAGGTAGTTCAGGGAAATTACTTCGACTGGTACACTGTGACATTCTTCGGACAGCCTTATCCTAGCCGCGTATATAAATAACATTTCAAACAACATTAACAAACAGAAAACCATGTATTTTCGTGGCCTGTTATCATTCAAACAATTATGCAGTGAATGAAATCTTGAATTGTATTTTTATGATTATTTTAAAATCATTCACTAAATAGTAATCGTTTTAATGTAACTATTCATGAAAACATACCGATAAAGCCACTGCGTTGTAATAATAATCTCGACCTCGAACGTAAGACGTCAAATACACCAAGTGCTGGTCAACTGCGTGAAGTGTAAAGTATGGTATCATAAATGCAGTATTGTATAATTTCTAAATATTTATATAATTAGTAATGTTGTTAAGCATTGCCGTTTAGCACAATTTCATTTTATAGGTACAAGTGTGTCTTTTAAAAGAATAAAAAATACAAGTTGTGGTATACGTATTTATTCCCTTTGCAAACAGTACCTGGTAAAACAGATTTCGTAGAGTTCAGTGCGAGATACTTCATACCCATTTTAAAATCGTTTGCATCATAGGCTGGTTTTAAAGTTGAAAGCTTCTATAAAATCACAAATGAACCAAATGAATCGATTTACTGTACGTTAAAGCCATCTTATGCTTAAAAAGTAAGACAAAAGAAAAAACTAACTGAAATATTTAAAACTATGAAATTTACGTTGAATTCATCTGCTATTTTTTTCCTTGTTTCTCGAGCGTTGCTATCGCTATAGCATTTTATAAATTCTTCACGTTTGACGAACCCTCCTTTTCTTCTGAAGAACTCGTACAAAGCCTTATGCAGAAAGACGTATTGATCCTGAAAATCACAAACGGAAAAAAAAGTATCATGATTTTTTTTATCTTTTACCTTATTAGCATTTCCTTCTTTTTCTTTCTTTTCAAATTTCCGTTAATACAATGACTTAAAACGTGCTGATTGAAAAATGCTGGTTGAAAGGAATGCTCGTATATTTCATTTAAGAAGATACTCTGTAAACACTCAAACGTACTGCATTCTGAATTAAGGTCATTCTGTCCTTACGCATGGCCTTGACATACTCTATGACATTGACCTTGCCCGTTGCATTTCCACAGCTAGTCAGAACGTCAAAGGCAATGAAAATCCCTGTTCGTCCAATTCCGCCACTGGAAAACATAACAAACTTTATCTTGAAATATAACGAATAGTATTCAACTTAAAAGTCCATTCAAACAATACAAATCAAGGGCAGAGCAAACACGGACATCTAAGACATCAGAGGTATGATCAAGTGCCTTGGAGGAGGCCCACCCGCCATGTGCTCCTTGTCATGATCGGGGAAAATGGCAAAATCCGTCGACAATTCAGTTTTAAATGAACAATTGATATGAAAAACGTCAGGTCAGTCAGCATTTGACTTCATGATAGATTGTACTTTCTGACAAGGTCATTGTATCTACCATGGAACTTACTATTTCTGATTACAATTTTTGAAAGAAAAATGAATTCAGTTTCAACTTTGAATTAATAAAAGCCCCGTGTTGATTAATTAGCAATTTAACTTGAAAGCTTTTATAATTGGCATACGTTATGATTATAACAAAATTTCTTCTAAATATAACCATATACCTTAACGCACTTTCTAAGCAAACGCTGAACATTGATATAACGATATAGCCTTAAGGTAGAACCTATGTCGAAAAAGTCTTTGTCACAAGACTTTCAAACTTTTCAAACTGATAAATTAGCACTCGCTTATCAATAAATTAAAAATATATGGTATGTTTCCTTGTTATTAAATGTAATACAGTCTGTGCAACTTGGAATGATAACTTAGGCTGCGAATACATATTTTAAGACTTTTTAATTGGTACTGGTCATAAAGAGAATATAGAAAATCATAAAAATACTTCTTCAAACATCGTCGTTTATAGACTTTATTAACTGAACCGTATCATAAGCAATATTATTCAAGAATAATTTTTTTTATTCAATTGACATAAAAGATTAAGTCCACATTTCAACGAATATAGGCAAATGTGCTCAATACTTTTTGACTCAATAAAGCATCTAAATTTGTAAATATTTTTCAAGTCTTTGTCAGAATCTTTTCAATTTTTAATATGATGAAGAACATACCCAAATAATTTAATTTTGTTTGTATTCTAACCTCTGATTGGTTAATATCCAAAAAGGAACACAAATTATTTCTGTATAACCTGGTTTGGTATGGGGACACCCCCCCCCCCTGACAACCAGCTGAATCATCTGTATCCATACAATCCTCTCATTTCCAGTCCTTGGGATTCATGGAAAATTCCAGATTTAATAAACTTCAAACAATAATTCGATCTTACCACATGTAAACAAACAACAAGGCTGCTAGGCCTATGTATCAGTTTTTACCTCCCCTTGCTTCCCATCACTTCCGTTACTTCCGTTACTACGGTTGTATTATTGAGCGACAAATTTGAACTAATAAAAAGTAACGAAATTTTACACCCATAGTTATTTAATGATTTTGAAATTAAATTATAAGGAATGACTCTAATTCTTGGCCAAATTATTCGAGTATAACCTGGTTTGGGTCAGTTTACGCTGTTTTATAATCCGCTTCGCGGATTATAAAGCGTAAACTGACCCAAACCAGGTTATACTCGAATAATTTGGCCAAGAATTAGAGTCATTCCTAAAATAATTACAAAAAGTGATAAAAATATATACTTTTCCCCAAAAAACTAATAAGAGACACTATTTATCAATACTTCTTTTGTTGACCTTTTTGCACTTATGCAAGATAATTATTAAATGACTGTTTGGGATTACATTCAGATTTACAATGTGAATATTTGTCAAAAAATGTATTTTTTTTTATTTGAAAAGATAATATTTTAGGGAAACATTACTATTATACATGAATGATTAAATAATTATGAAAAGGAAAGCAAGTCATTTCATGATAGACATTACAAAATTTACACACAACCCTTAACAGATCTTATCCCGGGAACAATAATTCGCAAATCGGTGATTTATCATATCCTGGTGAACTTGAGATAAAAGATACCACAGAGTCTGACACATCTGTTTCATATCTGGATATTTTACTTGAAAAAGACTTTAATGGTAATCTAACAACCAAGCTTTATGATAAACGTGATGACTTTAACTTTTCAATTGTCAACTTCCCTTACTTATGCAGCAATATACCTTCATCACCTGCATAAAGAGTATATATCTCTTAGTTGATTCGATACGCAAGAGCATGCTCTACGTATGTACAATTTCTAAAACGAGGTAAATTATTGACAAATAAGTTGATGAAACAAGAATATCAGCTGTCTCCTTTAAAGTCATCATTTCGTAAGTTCTATGGTCGATACAATGACCTTGTCAGCAAATACAATTTATCATTGAGTCAAATGCTGACTGACGTTTTTCATACTAATTGTTAGGCCATTATTTACACACTGAATTGTCGACGGATTTTTCCGTTATTTCCCAATCATGACAAGGAGCACACGGAGGGTGTGACCGGTCGGCAGGGGATGCTCACTCCTCCGTGGCACCTGATCCCACCTCTGATGTTTGGAGGTCCGTGTTTGCTCTGCTCCTATTTTGTATTGTTTAATGGACTTTTGAGCTTGAATACTGTTCGTTATCTCCATATATTTCATCTAGAGATTTTACGTACATTAAAGAACAATAAAAATAGAAGCGAGTAATTTTATTTCGCGAGAGATGCTTCTTGCGTAATTACGCGATTTATTCCTCGCGTATATATAGGAATCTACAGTAATTATTGATCTTGATGCATTGACCTTGCAACTCCTAATTTTAGAAAAGAATCCCTAGTATTTGTTTTTAAACCTTGAATACAGGATTTAGTAGAAAAAATATATATGTTACTTTCTATGATTTTTTAATGAAACAAATTTTAGGTATGAAGTATAGTATGTGACTTCTCTTTTGACCTTTAATGGTGCTCTTGAAGATAACATATATATTTTTGCTTGAAGCACTCTAAAGTTTTGTTTAATCTAATGACAATATTTTTCTTTTAGCAATAATGCATGAGAAATGATATTTTCTTCCACCTGCAATGTACGACAATTGGATGCTGACTTGGGATCATTTTGTGTCTGAAGTGCCTATGAAAGACGACAAAATTCAATGGATTTGGAGTTCCATGATCTGACCATCGGGTGTAATGAAATTGCGTGACCATTCTTGACCCAGTGACCTAAAATCCATAATTGTCATTATAAATCTTTAAAAAAAAAGTAACGAATTAAGTGAGTATTTGCTCGTAGAAAATGTTATTATATAAAAATTAGCACTTATAAACTTACTCTTTTCTTCCGCAAAGTCATTGTCCTTATCATATAATTTGAATACATCTTTTCTTCCTCTAACCTTATGGAAAAAAGGCCTAAATCTAATTCCTCTCCTTGGCCTGGCCAATATTGGTGACATTTGATCTGTAATAAAACGCCTCTTCTTAATCTGTATGTGTTAATTCTTTCTAAGTAAATAGGAAATTCAGTTAGTGGCTTTGAATTGTCTAAATGTTTTCTTTGAAATTAGAAAGTGTTAGAGGTTTGTTGATTTAAGCATTGTGAACATTTTAGAAATTATTTACTAAGTAAGTATATAAAAAAATGAAAATTCCAAAAGCGCAATTTAAAAAATAAAGTTAACAAAGCCGTATTTCGCCAAGTGACTTCTACTGAAAATTTAATAAAAATTGAAAGCAAAAAGTTAATGTACTTCTCTACAACACACAAAATAAAAATAGCGCGATACCCTTTTTCTTATCTAATTTCTTACTAATGGTTTTCCGAAAAATACATAGTTGAATTTTGAATCATGAACACTTGGATCTCGAAATGTTCTGGTTATGTTGACGTTATTTTTGAAGTTCAAACACCTTATTCTATAAATATTTAACGCTTGATATTTCGAATTTTTATTTGGTGCAATTGAATTGGAGATAAGGAGGTTCAGGATTTTGTAAGCATCCACGTATTTTTAGACCAATTTATAATAATGGATACAATGGAATTATTTTCTCAGACATCAAATATCGGGACGTCGGATTGCAGTTTGGTTCGTCTCCCTAACCAGCACCTTTTGTGAGAATAATCTTTGTATGTTTATCTGATATGGACTTTTTCATATAAAAGTATTCCCTCAATTCGTTTAGAATACAAATTTCTCATTAAATCTAATTTTCCACATCCAATGAAATAAGATTTCTTTCCGTTTTATCCTTTGCATTCCATTTATTTTCTTTCTTTTTCTCTTCCCCCTCCCGTTTGAAAAACTTCACTATATCCGTCTAATATACCTGTACAAAAGATGAAAACGTTAAAGGAGTAGGTATCTCTCTTCTGAAAATGTCCGTCGAATACATTTAAAACTTTGCAATTATCGGAAAAATGTGGACCTGCTATTGAGTGCCTATAGTCTGAGTAAAAATAAAGAGATTTTCCCAAGACGTCACTGCTAAATTTGAAATTAACGATGATTTATAATAACGTAAATTCTAATTATAGTTAACGGACCTCATTACTGTGAAAGCATTATTAAAGGTGCAAGCCTTTTAGAGTTTAGAATTTTATTCTCTATAAGCATCAGTAGCCTTTTATGATAAATGCGCACCGTTGAACCTTCCTGGAGATTTGTTAACATGACGATGTAATCTACATTCTCCTGCCAAACCATTCTCCAGTGGTCAACCACTGTATTTTCTCTCGGTCCTAAGAATTTATATTATTATTTCTGATCTAATTATTACATTAAAAAAAGAAAGCCTGTAATACTTAAAGAAATAATTATTTTCAAGCAAATGTAAATAAAAGGAATTAAACATACGCTTTATTATCTATTATTTTATCTACCTTGATACAATTATTTGAAAAATATTTTCCTACCTTGGCATGCAATGTACTCAGGTTTTCCCTTCTTTTTAAATCAAAACAATTAACATTTAGTTCAAACATTCTAAAAATTGTCAAATTAATTTTCAGGTTATTAATTTTCACGTTAAATCAATTGCTACATACGTACCTCAATAAAATTTGCATTTATATAATCCGAGGTATAGCCATTTTCAAGCTCTAATTTCACCCTGGAATGGTCATCTTAAAATAATTTAATAAACATGTAATTTAATTTTAGTTGTAACACGTCATTTGATTGGATAAAATATTAGTCTATAATCGCATGACCTGTGTTGCCTACGTCACAATGACTTACGTCAAAAACGTATCAATCCCCTAGGCGTTACATTTAAAATTTGCTCAATTTGAAGGAATTTTTGAAAGATAATTTGACTTAATTTCAAAACTTCATAATGGAAAATTGAATTATTAGGAATGGATTTAATAGCTACCCAAGTTATACTGGTATAACCTGGGTTGGAACAGTTTACGCTTTAATATAAACTGCTTTGCGGTATATAAAGCGTAAACTGCCCCAACCCAGGTTATACAGTGTAACTTGGGTAGCTATTAAACTCATTCCTTAAATAACTGAAATTTTGATACAAAACTCCTAGCCTTATCTATAGTCATGGTTTTGGTTTAGTTCTTTAATTTTCCGGTAAGTTTTTTTTTTTCTTTTGGTTCATTATTCTTAAAAACCCAGAAGGAATACTTCATTAATCTTTAGTTATTAATCCGATGAATAATCTTCAATTAAAGTAGAGAATAAAATGCATGCAGATAAATGAATGGAATACGTTATATTTCTTACAAGGAAAGGTCGTTTTAAATCTGTTCTTAAGCAAGTTTTCTTCCAATTTTGCAGCGGTACAATCAAATCGTTCCCCACATGGAAGAGACTGCAAAAATTTTGAAATTGTTAACATTGTATTCAGTGTAAAGACTTATAGCAAGACATTACAAAACATGCAATTATTGACTTTTACTTTCTTTCTGTATGATAATATTTAAGCAAATTATTTTCAACAACCTTGAATTCCTTTTTGAAACCTTCAGTTTCGTTGGATTCCTTCTCTTTAATTATATTAAGAAGGTTAGTTACATCGATGTCTTTAGCCACAGTCAAATTATTGTAGTAAACAGTCTCTTCTGGGTTTTCTTTTTGTGGTTCCTCATCTGGATCTTGTATTATTACAGACACTGTAGATTTCTTGTTGGTCATTTGACTCATATCTAAAACAGAGAAAGTCCCCCTAATGAAACATTATGAAACAAGATGTGTTTGTGAAACACTATGCACCCGGCGGCAACAAAGTTCGAAAAAGCTATTTTTAGCGTATAGGTCACAGTCAAGGTACAAGGTCATTGACCTTGGTGTCATTTGAAAGAACTTAATTAGTGGAGTATGCATACCAAATATGAAGTCTCTATCTCCTATGGTTCAAAAGTTATGGCGAAGGTTAAAGTTGATAACAGACAGACAAACAGACAAACAGACAGACAGGACAAAAACAATATGCGCCCCCGATCTATCGATCCGGGCGCATAAAAAAAGCACGTCTTAATACGATACTAGAAATTGTCTGGATTTTTTTTATTATATAGTCCATATTGATACTTATATTTCACGAATTTTATAACATTAATCGGATGCTTTGTACGTAAAAAAATTAAGATATTTTTCACATACCCAATGTACTATGTCTCATAGCCTTGTATGAAACACTGCCTGTTGACATTGCCACTTTTCTCCTTGATCTGAAATTTTATGACTATCTACATATATATAAACTATGCTAACATATTTTCTGTGTGTTATTTATTTTTCCTTGTTTGGATAATAAGCTAAAAATACAATGCATACACTCTTTAAAATGACGTTTTTATTGATAAATTATTATTGATTTGAATAGCAACTGTACAACTCATACCGACCTACAGATGACAGTTGAGGCTAAAGTAACAATAAGTAACAGAAAACCTCCAACTCCAGTCCCGATATAGACTAATATTCCGAATATATTATGATCACTTTTAGTTACTCCTGAAATAAAATCATTAATTGCATTCATAAGAATGTAAGAAGGAGTATCCAAACTTTTATACAAAATAATCCAAATTGAACATTTGTTATAAATAAGCATGCAATGTAAATTATATAAGTACAGAATTACCAATCTTTGTAAAATTCTTTCTCACAGTAAAGATAATTGATGAATTATAACTCAGAATTTGTTATGCCGACCCAAATTAGTTAACAAATTCGAATAACAAGCAAATTCAAAGAATTGTGGTCCCCCGTTGTCGGTGTCTTAGTGGGTGAGATGCCATTATTATGGCATATTTTGTCAAATATGAACGCTCTATCACATGTCATTCAAAAGTAATCATCAAAGTTTTTTTTTAAATTAGGTCAAACATGAAGGTCAACGTCAAGGGGTAAAAAATCATAGCAAGCTCGTAAACATCTTGTCACAGGTTATGCACACGTCAAATATGAAAGCCTTATCTCTTCTCAATCAAAACTTGTAAGGAAAAATAACATTATGAAAAGTAGGTCAAACATTAAAGCAAGATCACTGGGTCAAAAATCATAGTGTATTTAGAAAGGTCTCGTCACAGGTAATACACATGTGTAATATGAAAGCTCTATCTCTTCTCATTTTAAAAGTTATGACTAAGGTTAAAGTATTTGAAAAGTAGGTCAAACTTCAAGGTCACGGGTCAAAAATCATAGTGTATTTAAAAGAACCTTGTCACAGGTAATGTACATGTGTAATATGGCAGCCCTACCTTTTCTCTTTCAAAAGTAACGGTCAATTTAAAGTAGTGTTATTTTCTTTGAAAAGCAGGTCAAACTTCAAGGTCAAAGGCACGGGGTCAAAAATCATAGTATATTTGAAAAGGTCTTATCACAGGTAATGCACATGTGAAAAAGGAAAGTCTTATCTCTTCTCATTCAAATGTTATGATCAAGGTTAAAGTTTTTGTGACAGACTGACAGACGAACAGACGAATGGGATTTAATGTTCCCTAGGTTTCGCGAAAGCGGGGGACAATACGCGAAAGAGTTATAATATTCATCGGTGTATAGAGTCGTTCATTTAAATTTTACTCGTAAATATTCTTTATGAAGAGTTGTACAGACTGCTTAAAATAAAACTTGAGACATATAATGTAATTATTTCAAGTAAACGTGTTAAGAAAATAGAAGTTTAAAAAATCTCAACGATTTGATAATGTCTCCTAGATTAAACTTGTGGCATTGCAAATCGAGTTTGTTATGCTAGTTGACATATGTATTGGAAAAATGTATTGAAACTGTATGAGTCAGGTAATAGTCACGACCAACATCGTAAAGTAAACAGTTTTGTCTCCGTAAGAACAATGTCCTTTTCTGTGCATGCATGTAACTCTAAGTAATTATAATGATTGATCTTTTTTTCTAGTTTACTGTGTTCACTTATAAAACTGTTGTATAAATATATATTTTGACAAATGCATGAAATTATCCAGAAAAAATAAAATGATTTAAAATAAGTACCCATCAAAATTTTCTTCGCAGCCATAAACACACTTCCCATTTTCAGGATTGCAGTTGTTATTAAGACAATGTACACTACAGGTTTCGTTGCATTTTTCTCCCCAAAATCCCTTTACGCAACCTTAACAAATATTTAGAAACTTCGTACAACTACTACATAAAGTAAACGTAATTGAAGTTCAAGTAAACATAATTGAAGTTTTAAAAAAGTTCGAAAACACAACAGCCTTAAAAAATGAAAAACATTAAAAGGGTCACACCTCTCTTGTAGGTGTCATAATTTACGAACCTTTGATTGATGAACATAACGATAGAAATCATTTTCAAATATTCACAAAGATTAAAAATTGAAAAATGAGCAAAGAAATTCCATTGTAAAAAAACAGATCTTGGATAAGGTGTTATGGAGGACCCCCCACCCCCTTCCCCTTGTTAATTTGCACTAAAAATAACATTGCAAGAATTACATTATCGTATGGATAAAAAAGTTTAAATAAACGACATGTTTTATTTGTACACAATGTCTTTTTAGTGACCATTGAAATATTTATTTTCAATATGATGTTGATACCCTAGCAACATTTTCAGAAGTCTAGCTTTCATATTTTACACTTTTTTTAGACTTAGAACATGCTCCTGATTAATGATATAATTGCGAGACATAAACCTCCAGAAGATGATAATGGTATACATGTTTTGGTTTATGAATAATAGGAATAATTCAAGGTCAAGAGTGTTCTACATGTTGACTTAAGGTCATACTTGTATCTAAAAAGTCAATATTGCTTTAAAGAAGGTGACACAAAAATTTGCTATAAGACATGGTTTCAGATATACCCTTTTTTAAAATAGTTTTTAAACTTAATTGTATAACAAAAATAGTGTACGAAAATCTGCAGATTGTCTTATTGAAAAAAATCAATTAAACTACAACCCTAGAAAATGTAAATTCGAGACTAAAGTGATACTTACCATAAACTTCTACTTCACAGATTTCCAGAACAGGTCCCGTTGATTCTGTGTCGTTAGCGTAATACTCTGTTTGTATTATGATATACCTCGCAGTCTGTGTGCACTTTATATCAGTTATGTTAGAAGGATAATTCGGAAAGGTGGTATTATCCGTGTAACATCTGAATCTTCCTGTATTATTTGGGTTAGAAGCTGAAGTGTTAGAGACATCAAGATAGAACTTTCGAAATCGAACTGGTCTCCATGTGTCTATTTTTTCACCTATTAAAAATATATATATTTAAAATAAAAATATAGTTTTTGTGATACTTTTACTTGCAATAACGAAAAATGCAGAAATTCAGTTTGAGAAGATTCTATAAAAAGTTTAAATGACCTGCATTATGGAGAGTTAAATAACTTTGTAAAAGATTTAAATTACCACCGAAGACAAAAAAGTAATAACTAACTAACTAGCTAACTAACTAACTAACTAACTAAATAAACTAGAAATATATCCATAGGACATGAATGCCCCGCCCACGGTTCATTAGTAATGCAACATGAAAATTTGTAGTAGTGTACTAAGCTTGATGAATATACCTTGAATAGTTCCAAATACACAATATAAATATTAAAGTAAAATGTCATTGGGAAGGTCAGGTAAAAAAAGAAATAAATACAGTTGACAAATTCTTATTAAAAATGTATCAGTGCTTACAAATAAAATATCTAGAATACTTTCTTTGAACACAAAAACAAATTTGAGAATATCAAGGTGAAAGGAAAGGTCAAGGTAAAAAAAATCTTGGTGAAGTTGAATAACTCTCCTCAATATGTATCGGCATATCAAATTTGATAAAAAATATCTTGATTTGTTTCTTGATTAATTGATTGTATGTTGCTTTACGTCCTGTTCGAGAATTTTTCACTCATATAGAGAGGTCACAATATAGCGGTGAAGAAGCGCTTCAAATTTAGACCTTTACTCGGCATTCAGGGTCATTGAGCAGTGGTTCTTTATCGTGCCAACTCCTACCATGACATGGGGCCTCGGTTTTTAAGATCTCATCCGAAGGACCCGCAACTTTCACTTTAAAGTGCCGAGCGCTTGGCGAAGGTACAGTAGCTACCTATTTTTATCGACTTAGGTCAGTCGCGGCCGTGATTGGAACACATGACCTCCCGATCACGGAACGGTTGCTCTACTGACTGAGCTACCGTGTATTTAGATTGATTCTTTGAAACTATTCTAAACAAAACGTTAAAATCAAGGTCAAAGAAAAGATTAAGGTAAGAAATGTTGATGCAATTGAATAGCTGTCTGCAATATGTATCAGCACATGAAGTTTGATAATCTAATATCATTAATAGTTTAGGTTTTCTTTCAAACTTAGCCAAAACAAAATTAATAAAAAGAAAGCGAAGTCAAGGTCATAGGAAATGCCAAGGTAAGAATGTTGATGAAGTTGAACAATTATCATCAGTTTGTATCAGGATATAAGGCTGGATAAAACTATCTTGAAACTTTTCTTTGAAATTAAGCTAAACACAAATTTGAAAAATAATCATATCAGAAAATGAATTTTGAAAAAAAACTGTCTTGAAAAGTTTCTTTGAAACTGAGCTAAAAGCAAAGAAAGACGAGAGGAAAGATGGAAGGACTAACGGGCGGAATGAGGGAAAAGGGACATGGGTATGATAAAAGTAAAACATAAAATGATAGAGTAGAAAAGTAATGGTCTAATTCAAAAGAGTTTTAAAAGTAGAAATCGGGTTTATATTTCTTACTTAATATTTCCTGAGATCAAAACACGCGAAACTTTCGAAACAGAAGTAGCTTTTTGTTTTGTAGTTGTGCAAAATTTAAAAAGGAGTTCTTATTTCATTTGGCTTCGCCAGTGTAATCACCTTCATCTCTGTAATATATCCTTATTCTTTCTAGTCTGGAACCATTTATCAAATCAACTTCATACCACGCGGATTCACTTCTACTTAAGGCTGTATGTGAGCAATTCATCTCATCCTGTGCTGTATTTCCATCAATCCCATACAAAGCAGTTTGATTTCTGTATACTGAACTCTGATAAGGTACTGTTGCTTTCCTTCGACTTAAATTTTCTGCAGAAAAAAAATTATATACTGTTTTTGCATTCATAAAAATATCGAAAAATTATTTTTATCCTAAAATAATGTAAAGTAAGAGAGTACGTCTTTCTTTCTTATTTTGATACAAAGACCGTC